ACGTTTATCACTGTTAAAATCACTGTTTATCAATACAAATCTCGCACATTGAAGCGCTTTCTCGCAAGAGATCACGATTTATCCAAAAGCGTATTCACAGTGCATTCGAATGTTGGCGATCGTTCTGGTTTTCCATTAGGAATTTCATTTGTCCCAACGCTTATTCATTTTCAAATATTCACAGTCTCACATTTTCAATTAAATATTTCAAGATCGCAATTGAAATATATATGAATATTTTTGAAGTGCAACTTAAAATATACTCTTTTTGGTAGCGTGCTTTTTTTTTTATATCGTCACTTCCGTTCTACAATTGTTCGGGCGGGGCCCCGGCTCGATAAGAAATCCGTACGAGTTTGAGCAGATAGTTTATGTTGACCCAGAGGCCGAACATCGTTCGAATCGCACAGTTTCGCTAAAGCCGGTCATTTATAACCGGCCCCACGAACTCGTGTGTGATCGTGTTAGGAAAAGCAGAGCTGGCGCCACCAATCAGCGTTGCTGTATCATAAATGTGAAGGTTAGAAGCTCATCGCAGATTAAAACACTCGCGGCGTGTATGCTTTGCGCTGATTCTCTGGGAGTCAAGAACAGAAGATCTATATTTGTTGACACATTTCCAAAATTTCTTATTCCAACGTTGAAAATTGTTTGTGGGAAAGTGAATGAAGACGATGGAATGTCTAAATATTTGTGCAAACTGTGTTTTAGCAGGGAGCTCCCTGGTTTAGTAAACTGACAAAACTGTCGAAACTGATGACATATCGACTTGTCCGATCCTGTCTTCGTTGCTACCACTGTGGTTGCAACAAAAACGTCATTTCCCTCAGATACAGCACTAAGCGCTTTCTTTTGATGGTCAGTAAGCTCGTTCAGAGAAAAATATAGCAACATGTTCATATGATTCCGCCATTTTAATTTCAGTAATGTGTCGTTTCTTTCGTGAGTTCTGATTGGGTGATGCAAATGAGCCGAAGTGAGTCTCATTCTCGTTGAAGGGCGTACGACATGAGTAAAGCGTGGGGGAAATCTGCAAGGGGTAATGTTGAGGCTTCGGCCGAATAAATGGTCTTTGGCTGGAGAAGATGGAGACCGAACTGCTACCGAACTACATGACAACCTGTAGTTGTGCATGCTGCCCTCAAGCGGTTCATTTGGAACCAGTCGATGACTGACGGATCAAGCTCACTAAAATTATGTATACGTTAACGGAATCTGCCATTTATGGACGTGTCCAGAGGATGAACTTGAAACAGACATAACTAATACCTAAAATTGTATTCAATAATAAAAATATGTTGGATTGTTGGTGAGATTTACCGGATTACTCATCTGAAAACAGAGTATACAGCCGGATATTCCAGTCAATTTCATCCATGTACCTTTGCGATTTTTTAATGCATAAAAACGCTTTATGTTTATTTTCAAGGTTTATTTTGTTAACACAGGTTCTGAATGTAAACTCCTTTCAAGACAGAATGCTTGAAAATACACAGTATGTCGTCGTTATTGTCTGATTTAAAAGCGTAATATGTATTTTGCGGCGAATGCCCATTCGCAGTTCCCACTCTGACCACTACCACGTCATCTCACATATAGGCGATTTAAATAATAACACATGTTTGTGAGGGTTATATCACGATTTGTTGTCTGCCCAATGGATGGTGGATATGACCATAACATTGATGACGCCTTCGGCCCTGAAACCTTCAAAAACATACGTTATTATTTAATTTTCACACGTGTGGCCATATGACTGTGTGATGAAACGTAACTGTGAAAATATAAAATTCAAATCACCTTATCTTTCCAGGCTCGTCCAATAAGACGTAGAGGACATGTTCAAGTTCATGTTATAGACATTTGGACAAAGGACATTTGGCACTGTTTTTTGAAAATCTCTCGTACTAGGCTAATGAGTCAATAACCCCTACATTAACTTAGCAAATATGTGTAAAATATATAACATATGAAAACCAAGACGAAAGAAGAAGTATAGCCCAAATACGGCAATCTCATTTACGCAGTAAATGCAACATGTAGGCGTGAATGACGCCCTCGCCGGCCGAACGGCATCAGACCCAACTCGGTTTGGAGCACCGCGGAGGGCGCAACTCATGCGACCTTGTCAAGCTATAGTCGCAGCAATCACTTCAAGGTAGCGAGACTATTATTTGTGTTGAAAATTACGATTTTCACATTTATTTATTAATTGATGAAATGCACTAATAAACTTTCACGTGATAAAGTCAACATAACATAGAATGTCATGTAAGTTGGTTAAAATGTAGATTTTCTGAAGGGAAGCAAGGCAGCCTCAGTAGTGTTTTCCAGAATCAACAACACAGGTTTAATCTGTGTGCCTATAAGTTTCAAAGATAAACTCAAGACAAAGCAATGTTAGGATTTGTTATCAGTAGCTATCTGACACACAATGAGTGTTTCCAAACATTTGAGTGGTTTGTTTCCGCCCCTGTTTGTTTCACATATGAATGCGTTAGACACAAAGTCACACAGCCACTGAAAAAAAATCATTGATTTTGGTGTTTTCATATGCCGAATTTATCCAATTATAGCTATCCCATTCCTTTATTTTTT